CACCCCTTCAAGGCTATGGTTTCCACTGCTTAGTTGGAGCTGTCCTTACAAAGTAAAACTATCATGTCTCTGTGCAAAGATTTACCATTAATGACTCTCTCCTCTTGACTTTTTGTACAGCTTCCGTCATGGATGTCCAATGTTTCCCTTTGCACTGTGTTCCAAAAATAGCGTTTTTTTCTGACCTGGCCAGTTGGGGACCAGTTTATAGTTAGGGTTTGTGCAAAGCAAACCTGTGCTTTCTTCCTCTCACTGTTGCAGCTACAGCAAACTTCATCTGTTCACCTCCTGGAGCACCTCCTTACACTGTGCTGGGAAGCTACGAATAGCAAGAGCAACAAATGCGCCTTCTGCTTCTTGAGGAGTAAGGAGCAGAATGCCTTGGCATTCTTAGCCTCCTGCTCACCCCAACAAAGAGAACTTGGGGCTCATCTGTGGCCTCCAACAAGGTACTGACAGAACAGATATCATGACTGACAAACAGCTGAAATACCTGTTTTATTCTCCAGAGATTTGTTGCTCTTGAGTCATGCCATCATTTCTCAAATCTTAAAATCTCATGGCTTGTGCAGGGGACAGCCCAAATCTGCAGGGAGGACCTTTGTGCCATGCTCTCAAGCACTTGGCTTTACTTTGACCTTCTACTGCAGGTGTCATCAGCTTTGCAGGTTCCTCCCCGTGTCTCTGTAACTGCTTGTGAATCTCTTGCCTTGCTTGCCTTATGGATATTGGGCAGATGCACAGCAAGGGAAAGAGGGTGTGGGGGAGGCAGAGAGGTCTCCTGATGCTTCTTTTCATGGCTTGTCTCTTCTTGCTTCCTTTGCTTCAGCTACACCTTTCTGACACATGAGTTTCGGAGCCTGTGAATTTTCATATCCAGTTAGTTTTTATTTGTGTTACTAGGTAAATCTCAGCCCTGAAGAGCTTCCAGTTGCTGTCAGATTTGTGCCAGGCCAGGGTCACTACTTGCAGCTGCAGTTGCTTCTCTCTGTGTGTGTGATTTCAGTGTTGTGCTACCCAACCCCTACTTCCGCATGCATGCCCTTATCCACACATACATCATCATCATCATGGCCAAGCTTCACGAATGAAGATTTAGGAAGGCTCTGTCCACGTTTGTTACAACCACACATACATACACACAGTCTCTTTTGCAGACACCTACAGATATCCCTGACAGTATTTTCTGCTTCCCCCTCCACATCTGTTTTCCTGTCAACAGTCCCCTTGCCCACCTTGGGCGTCACTGTGTGAAGAGAGCAAATAATGACGCAGCAGTAGTTTTGGCTGATGGTTGACGTCAGCAGTGCCCTCATGCAACCTGGCTGCCTCTCGGTCTTCATGCTTGAAGCACAGAGAAGAGTCCAGTCTGAATAAGCTCTGAGCGAGATGTTCACTTGTGACAGCTCACTACCTCCAGCTGGTGTGAGGGTGCATTGAACACAAACCAGAGAGTTCAGTCCCCTGTCCAAGAGATCTGCTCCTCTTGTTATTAAAGTGGTAGAAGAGTACTGAGAGAGCTTCCATGGCTTTTCCCTTCCTAACTATTTGTGGCACAATTTATCAAATAGATAATAATGAATGCAGTTTGATTCTGACTGTAGATGATAGCTTGACTTTCTTCTATCCTCAAACTGAGCTGAGGCAGAATGCAAGAGGATTGTAGAACTTTCAGTATGGTTGGAAATAAAGTTATATTGCACTCATGAAGCTACGTGTCCAACCTTTGAACAAAGCAGTGTCAGCAAAGGCCAAGGGGTTAGATGGCTGTGGCTACTTTTTAACTTGTCTTTAGTCATGTTCTGAAGGAATCATCCTAATCTCTCTGCTTACTGGTTGTTACTATTGACCTGGCACAGTACACTTCTGATTATTTATTATTTTAAACATTTTAGGAAAATATAAACAATTTATGTCATGTAGGTGGTGAGCTCTATTTTAACCTTTTAATTTGTCACTATTCTTTTCCTTTTTCTTCCGGTTCGTTGCACTAATGCTTTAAAATGTTGACCTTCTGGAGAAATGTTTCGTAGCATTGCTTAGCATTCAAAGCAGCTTAGATCTTATTGGGATGGGTTTTTTTCTTTTTCCTTAGGGCACTATTTGCCTGGAAGTGACTTGTGTTTTATTCTTCAGTTCCAAATACTTCATCTCATTCTCTCGTAGCACTGATCTTCTACTGTAAGGATGTTCCTGGGACAGGCACAAGGGATGTGGTCGGAAAAATTATCTTGGTCCCAATCATATTCGCATCAATAGAAACTGTTTTACCCTTAACATTGTTAGTGGAGTGAGACGGTTTTAGATGATGGCTAAATGAGGTCAGAGAACTTCCACAGCCTGTTCACTGACATCCAAAATGTGGAGGGCAGAACTTCTATGCAGAGATACTGATTTACATCTGCAGAAGGAGTACTTCCACTTTGTCTTTGGGCAGAGTAGTCACACGACAAGGGGGAATGATTTTAAACTGAAAGAGAGTAGGTTTAGATTAGATATTAGGAAAAAGTTCTTTACTGTGACGGTGGTGAGGCATTGGAATAGGTTGCCCAGAGAAGTTGGGGATGCCCCATCCCTGGAAGTTTTCAAGGCCAGGCTAAATGGAGCTCTGACAGCCTGGTCTCATGGAAGGTGTTCCTGCTCACAGCAGGGGTTTTGGAACTAGATGATCTTTTAGATTGTTTCTAACCCAGGCCATTTATGATAAGCCTTAATTTTTGAATTTCTAGGCACTGGGGCTTTTTCTCATAATAATACCGCAGTATTGTTATACCTGGATTTTTTTTTAAATAGCTTTGCTTATACAGCAAGTAAGAGTTGTGTCTTGTAATGTCTGAGCTCAACTTTGACTTCAGTGTGTAACTGTGAAGATTTTTTATGGATACTTCTGTCCAAAATATAAACCTCCTGGGTTGCTTGTGACTGCAAACTAGCTCTGATGGTTTCAGTGGTTCCTTCCTGAGTTCCTGTAACTAATTTCTAATCTGGCCTTTGTCTCTTAATGTTTTTTTTTCAGCTGGGAATTGCCCAGCATTGTGGATAGCTCTCTTCCATTTTTCTTTCTCAACTGCCTGCTAGTCGGTTAGTGTGTCTGCCCATTTCTGACAGTCTTCCTTTGTGTGTGCCTGTACCATAGGGCTATGGAAATAGTAATGTCCCTATTAGAATAGAATAAAGAAGATAAAACCTCTCCTCATTTTCTTCCACTTTTCCCTTGGTGTTGCCTGCACACAGGCAGCAGATGTGTAGCCCCTTCTGCAACAGTGTTCAGCATCCCCTGTGCGTGGAGTATCTCTTAAAGACCTTGTGTGGTACAGCGGTGGTGCAGACCAGGTGCTGCTGGACCCATGCTGGCTTCATGCTTGTAGGGGTCTCTCCTTATGGTGGCCCAGACCTCTGAGCCACGCTGAGGCAAAGCATCCTAGAAGTGCTTGTTTGGATGTTTGGCATGTGCTGTTTTCACCTTCAGCTCTTATATGTGTTTCAGAAGCTCCTTCCTTCGTAACTGCAACCTCTGCTCCCTCTTAAGCCATGATTGTCAATGAGTGTTTGTTGAAGCATCTTGTGAGCCAAAATCCACTGCTGTTATGAAATCAGCAGCAGTGCTAGTTCTGCCAGTGTCAGTGATATCAGTTGTTAGCATGTGAAGAGATGACGTGTATTTTGTTTTCCCTATTCAAATACTGGTAACTGACAAAAGCAGGATATGGGACAGTGTGGTCCAGAGTGCTGTCCTGCATGGCAAACTCCACGGCTATGCCTGCCTTCTCTTTTTGAACAATGTTATTTGTTTTACTGACATAACCCATCGATTAGTATGTTGCAACCTAGTTGCTGTGATCGGGGGAGAAGAGCAAGACATTACTGTATGGAAAGGAAGCAGTCCTCTGACAGCTGTATTCCTCTTAACTCTAGTTTGGCTGTTAAATTGCAACAAGAGAGGGCCAAAGGTCACCATGCAAATATTTTGGGTTTTCTTTATCATATTCTCTGGATGCAATTTCAGGCTGATCCTTCTTCAAATTCAGCAAGGAAGGCAATGTAAAGTGTTGTAAAAATGTCACCTCTTCATATTAATCATGTGTTGGAGTGACCAAAATCAAACAAAGCTAAACAACACACTGTGAATGTAAACACACATGCATTTTTTTGCGAAGCTGTAAGTGATAAGTGGAGAAATGGGAATTATAGAAGGAATCCCTTTATAATGAATAGTTTAGAACAAGTTAGTAACAATTTGCTTTTAATTCAGTGCATTGTCAGATTGTTTTTCATGGCATCCAGTGGTCCTGCGTCTAAACAGAGCTTTTTGCCTCAGGTGAGGTTTTCATCAGTGAGAAGGTTTATTTTTCAGGGGCCATGTTCAACAAGCTGCTTGTGTAACTAGGCAAACAGTTAATTTGACTGAAAATACCATTCCTTTTCGTGATGTGCAAATGTAGGTGTTTCAATATAGTCACTTGGTTGCTCATTCAAGCACAGGCATGAGTTCAGGAGCTTGTGGAAATGTTTCCATTTAAACATACTTTTTCTTTCCCCCACCTTTCATCCAGACTTAGCAGTTGAGCCAAATAGCTAAAAATCCTCAGGGGTTTAAAGGATTAAATGAGAACAGTTGTTATGGTGCAGGAAGGGCTGAAAAGTCCTGAAAATACGGCAGGAGGGAGTTACTGAAGGACCTGGCTAGTGAACTACAGCCACCTCTGTTACGGACATAAATATAACTGGAGAGGCAGACTGGTGGGTTGATGGCGATTTGTTTGCAGGGAAATTGGAGAAAAAAAACAAACCGAGAGACCTAGTGATGACTGACCAGAAGGTTTCCACTAGGCTGTTTGGTGAAGGCAGTGGGAAGATGCTTTCTAGCTAAGGATTGCAAATTTGTTTCTCCCACCAGATAACAAGGTCAGCGCTGGTTTTCATTCCTCCTTACCTAGACTCTTGTTCCCACTGGTTCCCATGAGTAACCTTTTCCTTCACATTTTTCCTGTTTGTCTCAGGTACTGAAAGGTTCAGGCCAGAGGTTTTCCTGTGCTCTCCATAGCCGCTGCCCAGTGCTGTCCTGAGGAGAAGCAGTGTCAGGAAGGCGGGTGCTGCCCTGAGGAGAAGTGGTGGGAAGGCTGCTACCCCTTGCCTACGACGTGTCAGAGTGAGGCTCATCACAAGGCTTTCCTGTGCTGGCTGCCATGGAGACCCTGTCCCAGGACTCTCTGCTGGAGTGCCAGATTTGCTTCAACTATTACAGCCCCCGCCGGCGGCCCAAGCTGCTGGACTGCAAGCACACCTGCTGCTCAGTGTGCCTGCAACAAATGAGGACCAGCCAGAAGGACCTGCGCTGCCCTTGGTGCCGTGGGATCACCAAGCTGCCTCCGGGGTACTCTGTGTCACAGCTGCCCGATGACCCTGAGGTGATCGCCGTCATTGCGATCCCCCACACCTCGGAGCACACCCCTGTCTTCATCAAACTCCCCAGCAATGGGTGCTACATGCTGCCCTTGCCCCTCTCCAAGGAGAGGGCGCTCCTGCCAGGAGACATTGGCTGCCGCCTCCTGCCTGGCAGCCAGCAGAAGTCCCTGACGGTGGTGACGATCCCCACAGAGCAGCAGCCGCTGCAGGGCGGCCTTTCCGCTGAGGTGGGAGCGGAGGAGCCAGACCGGAGAGGTGCTGTGAAAAGCTCCACCTGGTCTGGGGTGTGCACTGTGATCCTGGTGGCCTGCGTCCTGGTCTTTCTCCTGGGCATCGTCCTCCACAACATGTCATGCATTTCCAAGCGCTTCACAGTGATCTCCTGCGGCTGAGGCGGGGAGGGGGCTGTGCTCCCCTGGGGGTTGGGTTGGGTCGGTGGTGGTGGTGATGTGGAGTGAGACAATTCACTGCAGCTTTCTCCAGTGACTGCAGGACACTGTGCACCGGGGCAGTGGTGTGCCGGCCCGGCTGTGGCTCCTGGCGGTGTGGTGCCAGGCCTCTCGGCAGCCCATGGAGAAAATCACGTCCTGTGTCTGGCGGCAGTCGCACTGAGGAGGACTGCATGCGTCACCATAATCATTTATCAAAGGGACTGCAACTTTACAGTGATCTTTTTTATTGTGTTATGAGATTAAAGACCTCTGTGTAGCTGGTTATACTGTGAAGTATACAGTATGGGCTCTTCTTTAAACACAGTAGATTAAAATCAAAACTGCTCCATGTAGAATTGAACGAGAACTGGCGTGTAACTGTATGAGGTGTTCAATACCAGTCCACACATGTGTTATTTTTTAGTGGGGGGAGGGAGGGAGACTTGTAAAACCAAGAAATCGTTTAGCTGGTAAGGCATTTTATATGTTTTAAACTGCACATTAATTAAACCAAGTTAGGGTGTTGTAAAATAGTTTTTAAAAGGAAGTATTTTACAAGCAATCATTTCCTTCCTTGGTGTCTGTTTTTTTGTCTCTCTGTTTTTCCCTATTGTTTTTCAACTACAGGGAAGTGGCACTTCCAGTGTCTTTTATTTGAAGGAGCTTCCAAGAAGGGAAGCAAAGTGGGCTAGCAGGAATACCTAAAAATGCAGCCAAAATAGTTCTGCCTACCTGGCTTCTTGTGAAGGATGGCTTTGCATGATAAACTTTGGACATGCTGTTTTACTTCCAGTCTGGTAGACTTCCTGATGACCTGGCCTCCATAGCCATTAGTGAAGAAATAGATCATGAGAAGTCCTAGGACTCCTGAAAGGATGTGATAGCATATTGTTCTTAATTTTCTTTTTCTAGAGGTTGGGTTTTCTTAAATATTTGTAGGGAATTTAGACCTATTTTGCGTCCCTCTTTCCCAAAAGATGCAACTGTGCACCTATGAATGGTGTGACAGAGGAGTTACTCTAAGGAAGCTTCACCATCGCAACTGATGCAATCATCTGGTAAGAGACAGTGATGAAGAGGTATCTGGGAGGAGAACCCAAACCAACCTAACCTTGTATGGGTGGGCTACCCCTCCTAAGCCCCTGTGGCTGTCCTGGTGTCAGAATGTCTGGGTGAGCACAATGGAGCCTATTCCCCTATTTCAGTTTTATAAATGTCGATGTTCATAAGGACAGATTTGAAAAAAAAAAAACCCACAGGAAGTGTCTCCCTGTGAGTGTCATGACACCCCAGTGATTTGCAGTTCACTTCATGGGAAGAGGCAAATTCCTGAATGTTCACTGTGGTAGCGCCTTGCTTTAAGCAGTCCCACTAGCTTTAGTAGTACTGCTCGTAAGTAAAATAGAGCTCAGTGTGAATTTGGGTATTTGGCAAGTCTGAATGCTTAAATTTGTGTGAGGTTTAGGGATTGGATCAAGGGGCACATAACAGACCTTTAAGAAGACAGAAAAATCTGTTGATTTACACTGCTGCTTTTTGCAAGTACAAAGCATAACCTTTGAAGTGTGTCCTCTTGTCATCTACCTACTGCTGTTTCTAATATTTAGAGATTGCTCAAGGCCATATTATAACACAGTTTTGACTATGCAGTGCCCAAGTTTGCCCCATAGACGTCCTCGGGTTTCTGGTTATGTCACAAAATCTAGTTGCTGGTTCATGATAAACATTCTCAGCTAAGAATTCTGTCAGGAGCATACCTCTAACTACATGCTGGATTTCTTTCCTTCTCTGTTCCTAAACCACCATTTGCTTCCTTGATTCCTGTTAACTGATGAATAGAATATACGGTGCTTAGTTGTTATGGTGTGTGTTTGGTCATGTTTGAAGAGGAACCATTGTGCTGATTTTTATCTACTGTCATATGTATGCATAGCACAGCAAAAAAAAAAAAAAATTCTTCAGATAACACATTCAATGCCTTTTTTGTGCAAGGCCCAGTTGCAGTATGCCTTGAACCTGGCTTGTGAGCATTGTAATTACATGGACACCTCTCTGCAGCATGTTTCATTTGGTTGCAGTAGGGAACAGCGGATGTTCCCAAATGTGTCTTGTGAACATGCAAGTCTCTTGTTGCCAGTAGGTAGCCAGATTTCTACTGATATCCATGCTACGCTGCTTATTGTGTAAAGGAAAGCCAGTTCACAAAGAAATCCTGCCTTTTGTAAGACTCTGGAGGAAGTGACCAGATACAGGACTCGACCCTCTACTGCCTTACTCTGTCGCAATTGCTGGGTGTACCAGGAGCATATGGCATATGTGAAAGATGCTCCCAGAACAGTGCTGATGCATTTTGCACCAGCTTCTATGTTTGGTTATGTGAGTTGTCTGTGAATGCACAAAAATGCAAGGCAGTCAAAGAGCAGGTCCTGGCTATACAGTGGCGGTAACGTTGCCTCCTTCCAGCCATACCTGCCCGACTGAAGCTCTTGAGGCCGAGGTTTGCAAAGAACGGCTGTCTTGAAAACTGCCCTCTTCATCCCTATGTGGAAGGTGCAGAATGAAAGAGAAATCAGAAATTAGGTTAAAATACCACACTGCATAACACATTATACAACAGGCAGACCTGGAGTTTATCCGGTATTAATGACATAAGTATTATATTAGCAGAATACCATCCTGTACTACGTAACACAGTGCATTGTTTCGTTAATACGAACTTCCTGTACTTGTGCCTGCTGAAATGCATGTTTGACCTAATTTCTGATCCAGACATTTGCCTGCTTTCAGCCTTGTGTAAGAGCAATAAGTAAAACCTCAAGATTTTTGCCTGCGTGTATGCGCATGGTGTGTATGTTCATTCCTTTTTATAAATAGGAGTTCTGGAAAAGTTTTGTTCTGGCTTTAGAATGTGACTATCATTTTAAATTTTCAGCTGCCATACATGTTAGATCACCTAGCTTTTTTGCTGACTTGTGTAGGAGTGAACTAAATAGTTTGTTCTAATGTACAGTATTAAAATGTTTCTCAACTATGTCAATAGTCATACTACTTTAAAAATGCAGTGCAGTTTGTCCCATTCCTTGGTTCAATACCTGGCATTAAAAAGCGATACTGCTATTTTTTTTTTTAGTTATTATTATTATCTTTAAAAGGCAACCTTGTCTTTGTAATTTTTCCTTTGTGGAGAAACGTATTTGGACTTGTGTCAAAATCATCAGGTTCCGGGTTAATTTTGTCCTCTGGTGTCCAGTAAGAAATCACTGCCCAGTTCCACCAAAAAGAAGGATGGAAAATTACTGTGACACAGTACTGTTTGAGAAACCAAAACTTATTCTAAAATGTGCACCTGCATTTTTAGAGCACATTACTCTGTATGAATGTGTATTTATTTGCTTGTTTAATGGGAAGGATATGTGTGTTGGGGTCCAGCTTAAGTTTTTTTCCTGGATGGTCCCAATATCCATTGTTGACTTGTGCTTTGCTGGCAAACAGACTTTAGGGTTCACTCAGTGAAATTTTGTTTAGTGAATTTTAAAAATTCAAAATATGCAATTTTGGTATGCAGGATTTTTTAGGAAATTGTGTGTTCAGTGATTGTTCATGCTTAACCAAGATGTAAAGGAGCCTGTATGTTTTGTAAACATGGAGCAGTCATGAGTTCAAAGTTTCATCTTTATTAATGAAGCTCAGTCTGAATAAAACATTAGCAAGAAAAGAATGATAGCAAGTGAATTATGGTACCTCTGTTATTTTGTCATCAAATGAAGAGCATGGAAGGGAATTTGGCAGAATTGCTCCATATTTTATGAGGGGATGGCTGAAATTCAATAGTCAGCGTTTTAAGGCAAAGTATAAAGTATGGGTTGTGGTAAATTGTAAAAGGCCATTCATGTTTTAATTACGGTGGAATACGGAATTATAGCTGATGACTACTGAGCCACACAACTTTTTCTGTTTTAATCAAATTCCTTAAAAATTTTAAGTAAACATTTTGCTTATGGAAGTGAGGGATTGTTGTCCTTGATTTAAGCATGTATTGCACAGACTAGTATGCTGGTTTCCCCTTCCCCTGGAGACCCCCTTCCCAGTCACTTTATTGCTGGAGCCCTGGGCAGCCAAATTTGTTTAATAGTGCAAATGATTTTCTGGAGTAGAGAAGGCTGATGTTGCACTGGCTTTGCTACATTCACAACAGGGCTAAACCATAAACAAACAATTCATGTGTGGTTTGAGCTCCTCTGTAGATGTCCCAGTGTCAAAAGCTCCAGGCACCAGTCTATTGCGTAAATTGAGCCAAGCCTCTGTTCCCTTGAGCTTTTCACAACAATGTCAGGTAGCAGAGGATGATGCTTTCTTGCACTCGGAGTGAGGCTGTACCCACTATCCACAGCTAAACATGGAACTTGGCCTGCTGTCATGAGACACTTGCGTGAGTGTTCACTGTCAAGTGAACACCTCTCTAGTAAACGTTGGGGTTGAAATGCATTATTGTCCCAATTGCACAGAAAGCGTGGCTTGACGTTTGATTTTTCCAGACTTTTTCTATGGTTGGATGGAGGGGGGAGGAAGGGAGGGAAGAAGGTACATGGCAGCAAATGAATCCTAGCAGCATCTGGGAGGAAGGATCTGCTGGCCCTGAAGACAAAGGTTTTTGTGCAAGAGCTTCAGTATGACAAGATAACCAGGAAATGCTGCAATGGATTTAGAGTATGTTAGTGACCTTTCTGGTGCTGTACACTGTTCATAGGCCTGACAGCTGGGCTTGTTGTGTTCTTTCTCTTTGTCACTTTACCTCTTGCATGCTCGTGTCAGCAAGCAAAGCTGCTTGCTTCAGCCTCAGGTTGAACAATTTTCAAGACATTTCTTAAGTTGCCCTGAGCATCTCTAATGAAAAAAAAAACCTTCCAAGTTCACTGAAATTTAATGCTTAATAAATGTTAATTTCCTTATGCTTAAGTACATTTTTATTGTATTTCTAAATAATTCATGTAATCTTTTGTGCTAGTGATGTTCCTGAATATCAGAGCCGATTCAAGGGAAGAAAACAGCGAGAAGAAAACATTTCTTCTCCATCCCACAGTCCCCCTTCAGATCTACAGAAGTCTGTTTTCATTCTCATCCATATCACACTGAAGCACCTAAGCACAGGGATGAAATGGGGACTCAGGAGACATGCATGGAGCATCTATACATATAAGCACAGGGATGTGTTCCTATGCTCGGGGAGGGCATACACATAGCACATGTTCACATGTCGGTCGAGAGAGATCAATAGGATTGGTAAAAGAGCCTCAGCCTTTTCCTGAGGTGCATCTCAAGTGCTGGGATGATGAGGTGCTGAGATAGCTTGGAAATATGAAGCCTCAGTTCCACTGTCTGGATTTCATGTGGGATGAGTTGCCATCCCCTCTGAGCTGTCTCCTGCAAACTGACTCCTACTGCTGTTGAATGGAACTCACTGCTCCACAGTTGACATCTCTTCAAGTAAGGAGCCACACATTCCTCTCTGCTTCAAGGCTGGGATATCCACCCAAAAGGGAAGAGCCAGGTACCTAGGCTTTTAATTTATCAGGGGTTTGTAAGTCCAGATGGAGGTCTTTTGAAGCACAGCTGCATAGAGCACTCCTGAAAGCTTGAGGGCAACATACAAACTTGGCCTAACTGGTTTGAAAGAGTGACGAAAGGGTGGAGAAGGAAAGGACACCTGAAAATGAGCAAAAGATTAGACAGTAGCCTGGAAATTCCGATCTGTATGTGCAAAAACATCTACTGGGCATGTTTTGCAGTGCCCTGCATATGTCATGTCTGTCAAATTGTATCTCAGGAATGGCACTGAAACTCCAGATCTTGCTTTTCTTTCAACACCTTTGAGCTGGGAAGCAGCCTATTTCAAAAGTGCAGTTTTCTGCCTCACTTGATGGATGTGCAGAAATTTTTTAGGTTGCTGAATCATCACTGAAGCTCAGGACTTGAACAAAAACTGAATTGGAATTCAGCAGGAAGAAATGGGGTAAAAGGGCAAAGTCTTGAATTCTTAGTGTGTGCAGATGTGTCACATTGTTTAAAATAAACAGTTGTTTTATTTGAATGTTTGTTGATTGAATGTACAAAAGCAGGTGGCTGTCTCCCAGAACAAATAATGAAGTTGACAAATTGGTAATGCCAAACAGCTAAAGACAGGACTTAGTGAAACCATTAGATCTGAAGAAGCTGAAAACAAAAGAAGTGGCTATTTGGTACAGTTACTACACTCAACTTAAAAGAATTAGTAGGATTAGGTTATGGGTGGTTAGGGGGCTGTAGCTTTCTGGCTTGGTTTTCAAGATTGAGTGGAAAAAAAAAAAAGAACTGAGAAACCTGAATGGTTTCAGGCTGGAGGTTATTTACATTCCTATATTGAGAATTATGAGAAGATGAGTATGTTGTCACTGCACTCACTGCTCAGTTTGGGAAGCATTGTCCTATAGTGCCTGCATACCCTGACTAGGTCTGAATCTCTGGGATTAGTGTCTGCTTGAGAGAAATCTGAATCTGACTCAGGATGTGGAGAAAAAAAAAAGATATTCTGCAAGATAGTTTGAATTCAGGTTGTCATTGTAAAGTGTGAGATCTCACTTTGAAGAATTTAAGAATGGTGGTGAATCTCACAAGACTTTCAAAGCAGTTTGTCATGTGGAAGACACATGGGACTGGCCATGAGCATAAAAGGGGGCTCAGATCCCAAGTATGGCCAATTTGAATTGCCAAATTGAATTGCAAATTAGTAATTTCTTGCCTAATTTTTTTTGAATAATCGTTGCAGATGTTTCTTGAAGATTTGCTTAAGGAATGTATTCAAATACTTGAGACATGATTCAGAAAAATATGCTAACTGAGAAAGCACTAAAGTATTAAATCTAAGCCAAAGGACTTCAGTCACAGATGATTAAATACTTTCTTGAACAGAGGTGAACTTCACATGTAGGTGTTTGTTTCTTGATACTTGGCTAGTCTACACAATTCTTACAGAACATTCTAAATAAAAAGCTTTGCTTTGGGGAAGGCTTTATGTTGAAATTTGAAAGTATATTGACTAGGAGAGGCTCTACACTAAGGCAGCTGTTTTCAAGCACTTGAGTCTAGAAACTTGTAACTCCCGTTACAAGGAGTTACTTTCTATAACTCCTGTTTTTAATTGCTTATTGCAACTTAACTGAGGATTCTTAACTTACGGTGGGAAAAAAAAACTTGCAGTTTAAACCCACACTAAAACCCACCCTAGGAATCCAGAGCAATGAGGGTTTAAAAAATTTAGGGAAAATAAATTGAATTCTAATCACTTCTTTTCTGCTATGCTAAAATGCTGAGGGATTTGCTAAACTTAGAGTTTGATAAAACTGAATCCCTCCTTAATGGCTGTATTTGCTAAACCAGCTCACTGCAATGGATACATAGCGTGTTCTTTCCTTTCTGACCTCCCTGGTTTAGAGAAGACAGGATTTGGACAGTCGTAGCTGGATTGAACAGCATGATAAGAGTTGTAAAATGTTACCAGCAAGGAGTGTGGTTTTGTGATAAACAAAGAATTGCAACACTGAATGTCTTTCGGCAGCCATCCAGGCAGAACAAGCGTGCAGCAACTCCAGCAAACCTCTGGGATCCAGAGAAATGTCAGGAGTAGTGCATAAATGAGGATATTTTTTTAATACCCTAGATACTGTCTGTGTTTGTTATTGCAGATGCTTGACATCCTTGGGTTGGGTTTCTTTCTTTTGTCCATTATAACAACAAGCCTAAAAAGCACTTTGTTCTGCTTCCTTAGGAGTGTGCCATCTCCTGTTTCATCTTCAGCCCTTTGTTTGGCCATCCTGTTTCCCTGCAGATTTACAAGGAGAAACTTACTTTTGTATGTATAAGTGATGGCAAATTTCTATTGCATTTTCAGTGATGAAAATGATAAGTGTCTCCACAGAAATAGGAATATTTCCAGAGCTCCAGAGTCTTATTTGCAATACACCTTTATCTGCTGTTATTATCATAGGTTCTCTCTAAATCAGTATTTTCGATTATTTTTTCTTTACTATAACACAAATATTTTTGAAAAAAGCAGTAGCAAAACAAGAGAAAACAACTCAAAGACTAGAAATTATTTGCACAATATTATTCTTATGATAGAATCATTCATTAACAGCTTTTTTTTTTTTTTCGTTCATGGTATCAGTGACATTAATTTTGTGATTCTACTTCCTTTGGTGAGGGAGGGACATAAGGAAGAAGAAGATCCATATTCATGGCTTGGATTAGATCTGCTGAGTTTCAAAATGTATGTATGTGCTTCTGTTTTGTAATACCTCATGAACCTCCTAACAGCTGAAAACTGCAATAGCACCAAAATCTTAATGAAATATCATGTGCTGCCTATTAGGTTTAAAATGCCTGCTGAAATGCGCAGAGCCTGGACTTTCTGGCTGTCAAGCACACGGAGCACTATATGTGGAAGTAGTTGTGACTGTCAGTTCTCCAAGATCAAACTCGAGTCTTATGCCTCATTTAAAGCTGTTAGCAGGCTAGGACTCTGAGGATCTCTGTCATATGTCCTATATGCAGTGGCAGACCTCATTTTATAGATCTGAGGCAAGCAACCTTTGATAAGGAGACATTTATGAGTGAGGGCAAATTATCCATCTTCTTAAGAGATTGTTAAATCCTTGATTTAGTTAGTGGCTCAGTTTTTGCCAAAGGAAGATGAAAAT